TTTGGACATAGGATTGCTAAGTGTCCATAAAGTAATTTTGATAGACGTTCTGATTTTAGAGGCTCTAAACAATCGACAGTAGGTAGGTAGAGCGTAGTACCACCTAGCCAGGATATTGGTCTGGTATCCTGAGGTCAGCCTTCTAGAGGTTCACGAGGAACAGGTAATTCTATTTCTTTGACCCTAGTGCATCCATGAGTTTACAGTCTGATGCAATGAGAAGCCAGTGAGTCCCCAGATGTTGTGACTGGTATGACATATTTCTACATCTCCTTACCATAGTTTATTTGATTCTGGTGCTAGCCATTCTTTCATGGCTGAGCAAATTTTGATTCTCTCAGTTTATCTTTCATATTATTTCCTATTTCTTCATCTTTGATTTTGCCTACGGGATATGAAATGGTAGCTTGTAGGGTTTCTTTTTGTGATTTGGAATTTTTTGATAAACTTTAGAGATATAGTTTAATTTTTCTACCTATTTTTGTATTTGATTTCATTTTGAGTGTGAACTAGATGAGTCGATATGAGGCTCATATTGGTTGCTTGAAGAAGAAAGTGACTTTGTATAAGATTGGTGAGAGTTTCATATTTAAGGGAATCAGAGGTGCTATCGCTTGTCTGATTTTTGCTCTAAAAGTGGATAGACTTTGAAGGAAAGGTAGTATAGTATTTTGAGTATTTGTCAAAAATGTGAGACTCTCTTCTAATTTTATGAGTAGTGTCCCTATAGTTCAAGAGTTTCCGTATATCTTCCTAGAGAAATTCATAGGAATTACTAACTTTACTGCCAGATAGGGAGATAAAGTTCTATATTGATATTTTTCTGGGTACTGTTCTGATATATAAAGCTCCATATAGAATGGCACCTAAGGAGCTTCAGGAGTTAAAGTTCAGCTTCAAGAGTTGGTTGACATGGGATTCATCCGCCCTAGTGTGTCTCCGTGGGGAGTACTTATTTTATTTATGAAGAAAAAGGATGTTTTGATGCAGATGTGCATTGATTATAGGGAGTTAAATAAAGTCACTATAAAAAATAAGTATCCTTTGCTTAGGATTGATGATTTATTTGATCAGCTGGCTGGATGTTCATTATTTTCTAAGGTCGATTTGTGCTTTAGTTATCACCAGTTGAAGAAAAGGGTATATGATGTGGCGAAGATTGCATTTACTATAAGGTATGAACATTATGAGTTTTTAGTCTTGCCATTCAGAGTAATTAACGCCCTAGCAGTCTTCATGGATTTGATGAACAAGATTTTCAGGAAGTATTTGGACCAATTTTTTATCATCTTTATAGACGTTAGATATTCTAATTTATTCTAGAACTGAAAAGGAACATCTAACACACTTGTGGGATGCTTTAGAAATTTTAAGGTAACATCAATTATATGCTAAGTTCTCAAAGTGTGAGTTTTAGCTGAGGAGCATTTCATTTTTAGGGCACATAGTGAGTAGTGTAGGCATTTTAGTAGATCCCTAGAAGATTCAAGCTATTTTTGATTGGCCAAGGCCTACTGCAGTTTTAAAGGTTCGTAATTTCTTAGGCTTATCTGGCTATTATCAAAAGGTTGTTCAAGGATTTTCTCGTATTTCATTGTATTTGATGAGATTGACTCAGAAGTTAGTAGCTTTCACATGGACTCCAAAGTGTGAGGAGAGTTTTTAGCTGTTGAAGGATCATTTGACTTTTGCTTTGATTTTGACTATTCCTTCAGACACTAAGGGGTTCCAAGCTTTTAGTGATGCATCATTGAGAAGTCTAAGATGTATTCTAATGCAACATGGTAAAGTGATTGCTTATGCATCTTAGTGGTTGAAACTACATGAGAGGAACTATCTAACACATAATCTTGAGTTACTAACCATTAGAGATTAAAGTATATTTTTACTCAAAAGGATTTGAATTTGAGGCAAAGATGATGTTTAGAGCTCATCAAGGATTGTGATCTATCTACTTAGTATCAGCCTAGTAAGACGAATGTGGTAGTAGATGCTTTGAGTAGGAAGTCTTCAAGTACTTCTCTTTCTTTTCTTATTTATGTAGACTTTTCTTATTTGACATTTTAAGAAATTGGAGATAGAGGTGGTATCTGCTGATACATATTTGAATTTGATAGCTTAGATGATTATTCAATCTACTCTAAAGGAAATAATTCAAGAAGCTCAAATAGTATATATAGAGTATCTGAAGTTGAGTGATCAGATTATGATTGATTAGAGACATGAATTATTTTTATATGATTCTGGAGTTATTTTCTGCAAGGATAGATTATGGGTTCCTTTTGTTGGTGATTTGAGAGTTAAGATTCTATATAAGGCATGTTACTTGAGTTATATTATTCATCCAGGAAACAACAAGATGTACGGAGATTTGAAAGGTATGTTATGGTGGTCTGGATTGAAAAAGGATATAGCTGAGTTTGTTTCAAAGTATGTGGCATGTAAGTTAGTGAAAGCAAAGCATCAACATCTACGTGGTCTTCTATAGTCATTACTTATCCCTGAGTGGAAATGGAATGAGGAGGAGGATATGGACCTTGCTATAGTTTTCCCATATCAAGGTAGGGACATGATATCATTTGGGTTATTATTGGTCGTTTGATGAAGTCAGCACATTTTATTTTGATCTGATAGACTAATCCAGTAGATAGATTGTCACAGATATATATCAGAGACATTATCAGATTACATGGTGTGCCAAAGGTAATTGTATTCGATCGAGATAGATGATTTACCTCCAAGTTATGGAGAGGTATTCAGCAGGGTCTAGGTACAAAATTGTAATTTAGTATAGTTTTACATTCCCAGATAGACGAACATTCCAAAAGGACTATTCATACACTGGAGGATCTTTAAAGACTTTATGTTCTAGACTTTGGAGGCTATTGGGAGGATCATCTTCCACTAATAGAGTTTGTATATAACAATAGTTATTAATCCAACGTTAACATGGCTCCTTATGAAGCCTTGTACGATAGGAAGTCTAGGACAGCTTTATCTTTGATAGAGGTAGGTGATAGACATGTGATAGGATCAACATTTGTGGATGAAACTCCTATAAAAAGTTAGCTAATTAGAGAAAGATTGAGAGATGCACATGATACGTAGAAGAAGTATTATAATCAGAAATAGATGCTGATGGATTTCCATGTTGGTGATTTTATTTATGTCAAAGTTAGTTTGACAAAAGGTGTAAGTAGATTTGGAAGAATTAGTAAGCTGAGTCTAAGGTACATTGGACATTTTAAGATTGTGAATGGATTAGTAATTCTGCTTACAAGTTATTGTTACCAAATCATATGTCTAATATACACAATGTCTTTTCGACACCAATATATATTTTATATATTTTTCTATAAATAATCTATTTGTAATATTAGTAGATGAGTTCAGTCACTTATTTAATTTCTATCTTTATAGTGCTTCTATGATTTTTTTTAGTGAAAACAAAGAGAATTTAGAGAAGTACTAGATATATTCCATTATAGCATTTGGCTTGTGTTTGTGAAAGAAATTCTATAAGTTCATGGAGGAGTGTAGAGGATATCATTGAATCATCTAGTGATATCATTTCTTATGTACTCTCTTTTTTTGTGCAATTAATGAAAATGAATATGCTTCACTTGTTCTTAATGTCTTGCTAAATTATATAGTTTTGAATTAATGGAGTAAATGAAATATAGAGTACTAATTTATTCTATTCATTAATAATTTCAAAATATTTTCAATATACCAAGTCTTCATTTAATATATATAGTAGATATATGCGTAGTTAATATCAGGTATAATATGAAGCCTATGAATAGGAAAGCATGCATAACTAGGTATATTAAATTGATATGATGCAAGAATAGACATAGTACTTGCTATGTATCAAATTTATAGAGATGAATTATCATGATGGGATTTTAACAGTACACGTTTTACTTACTCTTCTAAGATTTTTATAGGGTGATAAATTATGGGACTTTAAAGTGGTATTGAAGTTGGAAGAGTTTAATCTATCATTTATCTCTTCATACTTTGTCGAGTTATTGGTGAAGCATATGCTCTGAATAATATTAATATGAAAGAGACTCATTAAGAAACTTATTATATTTACATTCCATAAATATAAAATAATTTATCCAAATAGTATTTAATTTAATTATTTTTTATTTTAAATTAAGTGATTGAATCTCCATCAAAACTTATTTTAATTGAGTAGAAGAATTATTGTAGCTGAAGTAGATAATACAATAATTTGCAAGAAACATTCTTTCTCGTGGAATTAATATTCTATCACTATATTACTTGATTTAGCACATACAGTTGCATATATTAAGTGGGGTTTTTCTAAATTTATATAAAAAAATATAAGCATTATTTTGGGATTGATAGAGCCCTAAATTATTTTCATAATTCTTTAGGTTACTCCACCGCACATCAAGTTTTTGGTGTTATTATTAGGGAAGAATTTTTTTATTTATAAATTTATTATATTACTAAATTGATTACAAAATTAGTCCTACTACATTTTTTTATTTTTTTATTTTAATTTATTGATTACATATCTATGATTTCATACTTCAAGACATTGAAAGGAGGCAAGTTTAAATTTTGATTTTAAAATGGTCGACCCTGTTCAAATTTTAGGCCATTCTAAACCTCTGAAAGATTTTGCAAACTCTTTAGTAGACATAATTTACCAAAGCATAAATCAACCCACCATCCAAGCAAATAATTTTGAATTAAAAATCTGCAATCATTCAGATGGTTCAATTTTCTCAGTTTAGGGGAACTCCCATTGAAGACCCTAACTTTAGCAATTTTTTTAGAAATTTGTGCAATATTTAAGTAGAATGGTGTTAGTGATGATCTCATTAAACTTAGATTATTTTTCATTTCTAAGAGACAAGAAAAAAATATAGTTAAATTTTTTACCCCTAGGCTCTATTACCACATGGAATCTGTTGGCCCACAAATTTCTAGGAAAGTATTTTCTACCTTCTAAGACTTCCAAGCTTAGAATTGATATTTCTTCATTTACTCTGTTAGAAAAAGAATCTATTTATGAGAGTTGAGAGAGATTCAAGGAGATACTTAGAAAGTGCTCTCACCATGCCTTACCTGATTGGTTGATAATTTAAACTTTTAACAATGGATTGGCATGATTCCTTAAAGTCATAATTGATGCTACAGCTAGTGGTTTTTTAGTGACAAAGCCTTTTGAAGATGCACATGAATTAATTAAAGAAATGACAACAAATAATTTTTAATGGCCTGCTAATAAAGTGAATCCTAAGAGAGTGGTTAGAGTTTATGAAACTAATTTTTTATCTATTTTGATTCCACAAGTTGCAGTAATATTAAAGAAATTGAGCACTTTAAGCTTAAATTCTGATTCAACATTACATTTGAAAGATAAAAACTTAACGGATGAAAATGATATCCAAAGGATTAAAAATATAAATTTTATTAAAAAATAAAAATAATCCCTATTCAAATACATATAATCCTTGTTGGAGGAATCACACAAATTTTAGTTTGTGAAATAATAATGATGAAAATCAATGGAACTCTAGTCAAGATAACCAAGGAATAAAATGGAATAATCAAAATCAAGCTAATAACAATCTAAGACCATCATATCCTCCTGGATTTAATCAAAGCAATTAGTATGGAACTAAAATGATGCCACTATAATAAGTTGTTATGCAATTAAGAACTCAATTACAAAATCAAACCACTTTAAATAAAAATTTAAAAGTCAACTAAGTCAGCTCGTAATTTCTTTGAGTAGTAGAACCATTGGTTCTCTTCTTAGTAATACTAAAGTTAATTCTAAAGAGAAAAAAATAGATACCAATGGGATCCAATTGAATAATAACAATCATCCACCATAGTCAAATAAAAAATTCAGGCAAAGTCTGGTTGAAGATTATAAACTCAGTGCTGCTTAAAAGGCGACTCATGTATGTGTGATGTTAGTATCAGTCATGTTAATGTAATAATATATTACATTATATTTTAAATGCATATTTTATGTGCTCTTTATCACTCATATAAAGCATACACTTGTATTGTTTGTTTGTGTCTATTTACATATTAGCAAATTTTCTTCATGCTTAAATTATTATTACCATCCAATTACTATTATATTATAAATATTTAATTAACCTTTATAAAAATTATGAAAAAAAGAATAATAATAAAATCCTAGATCCTAGTTTGAATGAAATCTATTTATACTTCATAGGTTAAAAGAACTAAAACTTAACTTATTCATTAGTTTGAGCTATTATCCTAATTTGAATTTATAATCTACACCTTTATGAATTTAACTTTTAAAAATTATAATATGAATAATTAGTATTAAAAAATCGATATGAGTAGATTAAAATTTTAAATCATAGCTAACCTTAAAATGGAATTAGTAATATCATCAAATTCATACATTAAAATTATTAAGATTACTCGAGATTCATAAAGCAGAAGCTAATATTTAAAATTATTAATTATGTAATCCACAAAAGAAAAGAAGAAAAAGAACAACAAATAGTTCTTAAAAAAACTTAAAATATCAAAATATAAGAGGAGTACCTTCAAAAATTGATATAAGTGAAAGTTTAATACACTACAAGAAAAACGCTGGTTTCCGGAGAAAAAAAATCCGTCAAAATTTCTAGTGAATTTTTTAGCGGAATATTTATGGTGGATTTTCTGACATATTACCAATGGATTTTTTGGTGGGGGGGGGTGTCGGCGTTAGGTTGTGTAGGCGGTGAGTTAACAGTGGGTCGCATGGGTCTGATGGTTTGTCCGCTGTGTGGGCCGCTGGGGGCTCAATTGGTGGCTTTTCATTTTATTTTTTAATTTTTTTGGCGGAGTATATGCGCCGGACAAAGTTTCGACGTATTTTCCACCGGAAATCGGCAGGAAATATTTTTGTCGGATTATTTATCACTGGTAACATTTTGTTGATGCACGTTTTACCTTTGAAAAAAAAAATCATCAGAAATTCGCTGGAAATTCTAATTTCTAACAGATTTGGGCATTTTCTTGCGAATTTTGTCCACCGGTAATGCATGTTTTTCCTATAATAATATTTGAAATACAATCTTATACAAAGACTATATAGGATAAAATAAGAAAGAGTTAATATAATAGATGATGAACTAATAAAAGCACAATTTTAAATAAAACAAACGTAATGTCATTTTACTCATCTTAGGGTCTAATATTTATTTAAAATATAAAAACTCCATAACTTGATGTAAAAAAAAAGTTAGGAAATGGGCCCTTTATTTATTTTATTAAAATATTTAATTAAATACCAAAAATTAATAAATAATCAAAATTTTAGTAATCACCAACCTAATTGATTAATTTATGTTTTATAACATTAAAATGAATAACCAATATTCCATCAATGAAGTTATTAGGATGGACTACCACAGGCTATGGGGCTAAGTGTCCTAAGGAGGTCCTAGGTGCTCGTGCCCGTTATGACAATGCCATGAATTTTATTATGTTATGTGAATTTTACATGAATTTTATGCAATCTTTCTTCAATGTTGATTACTATAATTTGATGTGGTTTGTGTTGTATATGATGTGATGTCTTTCATTTATCATGCTATATGTGATATAACATGTGGTGGGCCCTATATTTCTCCTAGGTTAGTAATGATCTGGATGTTAAAAGAGTTTTTTACAGGTGATTATGCTTATGCATGACTATATAAATGGTCCAAAATAAAATATATGTGATTAACAAAATTTTCTACAGGTGCTAAAATTACTAAGCCCCCCTTAACATGAAAATTCTGGCAAAGTAAATGTGTTAGCTCAAATATTGGCTATGAAATTTTTATAAATACTTTGTGATATTCTGATGATTTTATATACAAACCCCTTAGAATAACCTGCAGGTTGTATTAGAGTCATTTAATTTTTCATGAATGTAAATTTTAAATGAGACAATTAAAATGGGATATTTTAGTATCCAAATTGGAATATAAAGAGAAAGGAAACAGACCTTCGGAGTGGAGTTCTTTTCATTTCGATATTTGGATCCGACAATCCAAGGAGCATGAAGGAAACAGCCAAAGGAGTGACAACAAAAATATCCCATTTTAACACTTACATATTTCTGTAGGATTAGAATTCATAATATTGTCAGTGGTGCCTTGCTACTTTTAATTTCTACAAACCCTAGGTTTTAATTAAGTTATATTTTCCACATGACATCTTTTACATTCATTTGATATTATGTGATTACATTTGTTTAAATTATTTGTACTTTAGAAATTTCCTTCTTTTCTAAGTTTATTTCTTGCATGTCAAATTTACTTTAGCCTCGAATGCAATTAGGTCCTTAAAGATAACAAAAAATTCTTCTACTTGAATTAAATAAAAAATATCAGGCTAGCAAAAAAAGATAAGTGCTTTTAAGAGGTCAAGGCACGCCCTCTCCTTATTAGACATCTCCCCTCCTGTGAGTCATGTCATACCGCTTAATCTATAAATGTGTAACTCTATCTAGGGGATGTTGTGCATCTTTAGGAAATAAATTTATTTTTTAAGCATAATTCTTAAAGTTTGTCATATTATTTTACATAAAAGATCAATTAACATGTATTGTATTAGAAACAAACTAAAAATAAATAAAATTTTAATTACAATGAACATTATCACCCTACATAAGTAAATGTGCCAATTTGAACCTTCTCTAGATGTCAGCTTCAAATTCTCCAAAACTTAAATAACAAACCTTATCTATCATTCATAATGACTGGATACATTATTTTAACGCGCCTAGGTGGCTTGATTGGCTTTACAATCTAGACTAAGGTAAGTCCAGATTTATATTTCATTAGTTAGGTTTAGGTCACTATCATTTAGTGTTCAACTTGGATCTAGGTTTCGAGGTAGACCCAAAATCATAAGTCCCTAATATCGAGAATTTAATCCCAAATTTTTAATAAAATCTCAACTTGAATTAAAATTTTCTCTCATCGAGAATTTAAATCACAACATAAAATAGTTTGAGGCATTTCTGAATTATTTTAGAATCCCAAAATGCCTCCTACTTCTCATCATTTGACCTCCAAAATTAGCACTCTAACATCAATACCTATTGAAACTCTAACATCAATACCTTTGTATCACTTTTAAAAAATCCAAAATAAAATTTCTGCCATTATTTTAATCTTGAGCATTCATAGTAGGACCAAAACTTCCTATGATATAATTAATTACAAAGGTTTACTTTCGTGGGAGATTTAAGATCCCAGATAAAATAAGTGCTCTATCCTACTTAGCTCCTACTCCTAAGTAGGATGGGGGAAATTTATTATTTTAGAAAAATTAAAATTAAAGATGATCATTATCATCATACTCAAATTGTTAATAGAAAATAATTTTTCCTTTCCTTGGAAAGATACATCATTTATTATTATGACTTTAAATATAAAGTTAATGATAACACATCAATATTATTGTAGCTAAATATTTGATTGAACAATGTTCTAACTCTTTGAGGTCATATGTTATTCTTTCTTAAATTTGACTATGATAGTCAGGATAAAGTTTATAATTTTGTAATTTAATTTGAACCCATTAGAGAATGATATTTTCACCTTCCAATGTGATATATCATTCATAACGACATATTGAAAATTAAAATAATATATATTCCATTAAAAAAAGGCTAAATAGCTTTACATAAATCATCTTTAATAATAGACCAATAATTTTGATAGAAGGAAGTAGTAAAACCATCAGGACCAACAACCGAACTCTTAATTATATCAATATGAATGTTATACACTTCAATTTCATTAGGAGCTTTAGAGAAGTTATAATTATCCTCATTAGAAATAAGAGAAGGTATAAAATTGGGATTATAAATATCCCCAACATTTTTACAGCTACAACGTAATGATTTAAAATGTGAGATAGCTGAATAAAAAATAACATCTTGATCTTTAGTATAATCACTAGACTTCAATTTAATTTTATTTATAAAGGATCTCGATTTCCTTTTGTTACTTAAAGCATGAAAGTATTTCTATTTCTCTCACCCTCAAAAGGTATTTAGAAATAGCCTTTTGTAACCAATAA